TTGCTGGGTTTCTTGCTGGTTCTTCCCAGGACAGAGGTTTTTTTGCGAACCAGTGGTAAATTACGGAGCAAGATCCGAACGTAGTGTGGGTCGAAGAAGAACATCTTGGCTGAATAACCTGCGCCAATGGTTTGGAAAGAGCACCCGTTCCTTATTCAGAGCTGCGGCATCAAAAATTCATGTTGTCTTAATGATCGCCGACCTTCGAAAGAAGATGGCACTTTAATAAGAAGAACAAGAAGTGATAAATTAAAAAATGAATTTCAATAAATATTATATAATAATCTGTGTTGAATAAAAAAAATGGCGAGTATATCACTCACCTTCGATTTGCCGACGATATAGTCCTTATGGCAGAATCGCTCGAGGACCTAAGCACTATACTCAATGACCTTAATGGTGTCTCCCAACGGATAGGTCTTAAGATGAACATGAACAAAACAACGACCATGATTAATGTCCATTTCACACCTATGCCGGTAGTTGTTGAGTGCACTATGCTCGAAGTTGTTGACGAGTACGTTTACCTGGGACAAATAGTCCGACTAGGTAAGTCCAACTTCGACTGAGAGGTCAATCGACGGATTCAATTCGGCTAGGTAGCGTTCGGTAAATTACGACACATCTTCTCGTCCGGTATACCTCAAACTCTGACAACTAGATTGTACAACCAGTGCGTGTTGCCAGTGATGACTTACAGATCTGAGACGTGGTCCTTCACTGCTGGCCGTATGAGGACGCTCAAGGTCGCTCAGCGAGCTATGGAATAAGGGTATGCTCGGGGTTTCTCTGCGTGATAAACCCAGAAAAGCGTAGAACCGCAGAAGAACCAGAGTGACGAATATAGCCCAACGGATTAGTAAGCTGAAATGGTAATGGGCCGGCTATATAGCTCTAAGAACTAATAACCGATAGGGAAACAAGGTTCTCGAGTGGCAGCCTCGTACCGGTAGGCGTAGTGTAGGGCGACCCCCCACTAGATGGAGTGACGACCTGGTAAGACATGCAGGAAGTCGATGGATGCAGGTGGCTCAGGACCGTGCTTTGTGGCATTACTTGGGCCTATGTTCAACAGTGGACCTGTGAAGGGCTGTAATGATGATGATAATTATGACTGAGGAGATTTATTTACTGCAAAGTATCTATTTCGGCGCCGTCGGGAATGTCTCTGCGGGTATTCCCCTGTGGATATTTTCCTGCGGGGCCGTGTTTATTATTATTATAACAGTTTTTCACGTAGTAATAACGAGTGGGTGAAAAATGCACGTAAAAATGAATAAAGGTAAGACTTTATGTTATTTTACATGCCAATGTATTGTAATAATACGGAGTTCTTGTAAGTACACATCTAGTCTTGACTAATATTATAAAGAAGAAGGATTTAATTGTTTGTTTGTACTGGATAAACTAAAAAACCAACGTAATATAGGCTATAAAAAATTGGCCAAGTGTGAGTCCGACCTGAACCACTAACCAATGGGAGGAGTCTGCACAAGGGTAATTGCTATCATCTAAAGCGCCACGGAAGTGCTTAATACGTTTCCAAACCAGAAAAGAAGGAGATCGAGGAGCTGGGCTCTCAAAAAACGAAAGCCATCCTCTTTTTTCTTTTCAGAAAGAAGTTTTTTGGACCAAGCAGTTTTTCTGATAATTAAAAAAAATCCATTGACATATTAGAGGAATATAGCCGTTCTGCAGCCTTTCGTTTTTTAATAATTGAGGAGCAGTCTGCATCCCACCATGGAGGTGAAGAAATTGCACTTGTGGAGGAATTCTTCAAAGGGAAAATTTTGTATGCTATATTATTCAGAAAGGTTATAAATTGGGAATTATCTGGAGATACTGGCGGAAGATTATTGATATTAATTTCCGTTTCTGAGGAGAATACATCCCAATCAGCTTCAGACAGATTGAATTTAAGAAGGGGAGATAAATTTCGAGTAAGAACACATCTTTTACTCAGGTTTAAAAGGATGGGAAAGTGATCACTTCCAAAAGAAGAAGGGAGAGTTTTACATTATATTGTTACGAGCTTAGGGTTCGTGACAATAAAAACTGCCGAGCGAATTACCAAAATTAATACTTTAATTATCGAACACCAATTAAAACATTAAAAAAACACTAATAATTAATCACACTTTTAGTTCACTTTATTTCGCTCCGAAGCTTCGCTTGTATCGCCAAATTTAATACTGCCCCATTCCTCCAGACCACCCGATTGCGGCTTGCAGCGGCTATAAATACATCTTTTCCACCGAAACGTCCAGAATGTTCCAGTGAATACCGGTCCCCACCGACTAATTGCAGAAAGTTCGAGCGTGGACCCTTGTAGAAAGCTTAATTCTACTGTTTGATACTAGATGGCGCTGTTGGTGAAAAGTTCAAGATTGGCATTTTCTAGGAAGCCCTCCTCGCTCTGTTCCCCGACACTAGATGGCGCTAGTGCCAGGTACCAGACATCAACTTAGGCGCGCAACAATATGCTAGCAGCCAGGATTGGAGAGTACAATGACAAGTCTACTGCAGATCTAGAATTCTGCGAAGGATAGGCCATTCTGGTGGGAGAACCATCATTTAGGACACAAAGATTAAATTGATTAAAAACATCAAGTAGCAGATAAGAAAAAGAGTCAGATTTATGGGAACCCCATATAACATGATGGCTATTAAAGTCTCCGAGAACAATGTAAGGTGGAGAGTTGCTTGATAGAATTAAATTGAGTACTGATATAAAAGAAGGTATAGGAGCCGGAGTGTAAACGGATAGGATTGTGATGTACATAGCCTTAACAACTACTGCATTTATATTGCCTTGTACAGGAGGAAGAGGAATGGGTGATAAGGGAATAGTGAGTAAAAAGGGCACCATAGCCGTCGCTCCTATCACTACGATAACAGGAGAAGCCTGGGATTCTAAATGTGGACCCTGGCTTAGGCCAGGTTTCCGATATTGCAAGTATTAAAGGGTTATGAGTATTCATTAAGTGAAATATCAGGTTTTTATTTGATGGCACTTCCACTGGAGGAGATTTAGGAATTCGAACTTTAAATATTCTGGAGAAGAGGACATCTAGTTTGCTTTTCACGTTGAACGGTAAATGGGAATCATCGAATTTGCCAACAATATCTGTAAGCGAGGCCACAAGATTTTCTAGAAGATTATCATTAGGAGATACTATATTGCTTTGTAAAGCATGTCCATTGACAAGAGAGGACGAAGGTTAAAAAAAATCATCGAAATCCGATGATTTTTTCTATTTTCTAGAGCCAAAAAACGAGGGGACCGCGATAGTATAACATTACCAAACTATTTTATAAGATAATTTATTAACAGTTGACACTAGCAAAACTACGGCAATACAACTTGTATTTTTTTTCCATTACCTAAGAAAAAGAAAGGGAGAAGCGTGTGACGGGTGTAGCTATAGTTAGCTGCTTCCTACAACTAACAGGTGGCAGGATGTAGCGGCGAAACGAACGTGAAAATTATTTTTGGGTCTTTCTTTTAAGAATCTGAAAAAAATGAAGATGTTTTGTCAATTTTTCACTTTACCAAAACTTTTTATATTTGAGGACAAAGAAAACTGCATAATATGTCCATGAGAAAATTTAACAATCAGAGACATTAGGCATGCCTTTTTTACATATATATACTGTACATCTTCACATATAAATACGAGGGTGGATTGAAAAGTACTCGGCCTAACACAGATCCATTCAATTCTAAAAATCAAATCTACCCACATTATTTATTTCAGTTCAGACTAGTTCATTGTGTGAAGTTCGAAACGTGTGCGATAATTAATTGTGATTTTATAAATTTATTAACAAAATAATCGGACATAATTTCCGCAAATGGAGCAAATCGAGCAGCGTGCCGTCATTAAGTACCTCCATAATAAGGGGCTATCATCAAAAGCCATCCATGATGACATGGTCAGTACATTAGGCGATTGTGCTCTGTCATATTCATCCGTCAAAAAATGGATAGCAGAATTTAAGCGTGGTAGAGAGAGTGTGAAAGATGAACCCCGCTCTGGAAGGCCTTCGACGTCAACTACTGACGAAAATATTAAAAAAGTACTTGATTTAATAATGGGAGACCGCAGATTAAAAATTAGAGAGATAGCCGAGATTATAGGCATCTCTTATGAACGAACTCAAAACATCATTGTCAACGAGTTGGGTTTCCACAAGGTGTCTGCGAGGTGGGTTCCGCGACTGCTTTCAGTTGAACAAAAAAAGGACGCGATTGACTATTTCACGCGACTGTTTGGAGTTATTTAAAGCCGATGCAGATGGTTTTTTGAATCGTTTTGTTACTATGGATGAAACATGGGTTCATTACTGTACACCGGAAATAAAACAACAATCAAAACAGTGGAGAAGACCTGGTTCACCACCCCCTAAAAAGGCTAAGTCGATTTTGTCGGCAAATAAGGTGATAGCTTCAGTATTCTGGGACTCGAAAGGTGTGATTATGATTGATTATCTTGAAAGGGGTCAGACTATAAACTCTGATTACTACTGCACCTTACTACGTCGTTTACGAGAGGAAATAAAAGAAAAACGTCGAGGAATGCTCAGAAAAAAAGTCCTATTTCATCAAGATAACGCCCGTGTTCACACGTCAGTACAGTCAATGGCTGAAATTCACAACTGTGGCTTTGAACTGTTACCGCATCCGCCGTATTCACCTGATCTGGCACCATCAGACTTCTTTCTGTTCCCTAACCTAAAAAAGCACTTGGGAGGTCAAAGATTTTCGACAAACGACGAGGTCAAAGCAGCTGTAGACGCATATTTTGACTCTAAGGAAGAATCATTTTTTTTCAACGGTCTAAATGCTTGGAAGGGGAGGTGGCAAAAGTGTATTGAACTTAATGGTGATTATGTAGAAAAATAAAAATATAACTGATTTAGTATGTGTTTATTTTCTTGGTTAGGCCGAGTACTTTTCAATCCACCCTCGTATGTTTCATAATCATACAAAATGTATAATGGGAAAAAGTTTGTATAGGTAAGTAAGGAAAAATTTTACGACTATGCAATAAAAATAATATTCTCGCAACGAAAAGAAACTACGTTTGCATCTTAGTATTATTCGTAAATATGAAGCCAACGAAACTGTATCGAATTCTGGTGTAGAAGGTATAGTAAAATGGAATTTGTGACGAAATTGAATATATACTTTTTAATATCAGGTATGTCGTCCAAAACTACTTTTAAATATTTTTGTAAGTATGTACTTTTGGGTGAATTTGACTATGATATTTTTCATACTATTTTTTTTTTAAATAATTACTAAAATACACCTGATAGTAAGTGGTGACGCAGCTGAAGATGGTTGGTAAAACGCACTGACTTAGATTAAGAAAAGCCTATTTGACTCTTGCCTTGAAGACACCGTATGTAATCGGATAGAAAGAGAGATGCTGGCAAATTATTCCACTCTTTTGTTATAAGATGTCGAACGATGAAGCAAACCGTTTAGGTTGAATGCGTGTAGCTAGCTACTAGTATAGTAATCTATGAATTCGTGATAAATCGACAACCACAGTCCAAGAAGAGTACTTGCGTACTTACAATGCTCCAGGAATATATAAACATAATCCTATCTTCTTTAACATTATAGTTCAGGTTTCAGGGACAATGATTTAATGGAAACTGGCAACACTACCGATCTTTGATAAAGTATCTGTAAGTCCGTATTCTCCACCCCCTTGAATTTTTACTATGTTTAAACACAAAACGTTATTGGGAAAAAATGTCACGTCTTGTCACGTAGGTATTAACAAGTAGTTGCTGTTTTGTATTGACTCGATTTTGTATTTGCTCCATTTGCCTTTTTGTTAAATAATCGGAGATTTGCAGCTTCTAAAGCATTCCATTGCCATTGCCTGGCATAGGCTTCCTCCTATGTAGAAAGATTTTATCGCCACCAATTTTCTCTTTAAATTGTCTCCTCATGAGTGATACTTGTTTTGAAAGTAAACTATCCATTATACTTTTATTGACACACCCAACCGAATTCCCTATAAATTCCCAAATTTAGGCGATTTTTAATTTGCTAGTTCTACCTGAAACGGGGAAAAAACCAGCAATTATACTTTATTGTACCAACTGTATATGGTATTACTGTACTACTTTTGCTCAGGGTTACCAGATGTAGCAAGAAAACTGTAAATCTAGTCGAAATATAACCCTAAAATGGCATCATTTTTATGACACCATTTCTCATTATTGTCCGTATATCACGTTCCAGCGTGTAACTTAAAAAAAACCAGATCAGATAGGGCTTCTTTACCCTCATCAATTTTTAAACGCATAGATAATAACGGGTGTTTGTGAAACGCTCCGAATACAGACGATTATACTAAACACAAACTAATAAGAGTACTAACGTAGTACTAACGATAGATATGATGATAGGACCAAAAGGAAATCGATCCCGATGAGAAAAAAATATTTTTTTACAACGTTTAATTAGCTTTATTCACTCTCTATCATGTTAGTACAGCTAAATGTAACGATAGTTTCATTTAAAAAAAATAATGAAAATACTTAAACATAAAACCAGCAGTGCAATTTCAAATACCTAACATCTGCTGATAAGGGGTAAATATATGCGCTACGACGAATACGCGTGGTCGACGCTAACACAGCAAGGCGATACGAGTCGACCGAGCGACGTCAGCACGTGTATGAAAGGGAAGGGTAGAGTGAGCGAAGTACAGTAATACATAATGCATTCTTTCAGGCGGAGCTAGATAAAAGAGTTCAAAGTCCGCGCGTTTATTGATACCCTATAATCAGCCGATACCATTTTAATTTTCACTGCTGGTTTTATTTTTCAGTATTTTCATGTAATTTTTCATGAAATTATTGTTTCATTTAACTGTACTTACATGATGGAGCGTAAAGAAAGCTAATAAAACGTTGAGAAAAGATCATTTTTTTCATTGGAATCCATTTTCTTTTGGACCCAAATCCAAAGGTATCGATGGTACTATCATCTGTCTACATTTTCGCGAGCGATTCAAAAATACCCTGTATATAGGTAATACATATAGAAAGTGTTGCATGATGAATGACAGTGCGCCCTGTCGGGGAATGCACCTAAAAATTTATTTTTGATGCTTTTTAGAAATAGATATGGTGGTTATATAACTTTAATAACAAATCATCAAGGTACTTTTATCGTGCTAGACAAACCTGTATTTCGTTTTTTATGAAACTAATATTCTGCATAGTTGGTCTTTACTGTATGGTCAACAAACGACATGTATCTTGCATTCTTATGCATCTTAACTATTAAGCGTAAATATTACCAAGAACTCGCAGAATGAAATTTAATAAAAGAACCTATATCTCTTAATCACCAGCAGCAATTAGCAATTATATTTAAACGTCTGTGGATAACTTTTAAGATAATACTGGTAAGTTGGATAGTGTTAACTAGTGGTAAAATTAAAAATGTTGTACAACCGACTACAATATAAATAAAATGAGATCATCAATGTGGTGGAAGTCAATTAAATACGCATTATTAAGGATAACTCAAAAAGTACTAGTCAGATCTAGATCAAATTTATATGAGACCACACAAGCACCATCTTTTAAATAAAAAAGAATCATCAAAATTGGTTCACCTAGAAAAAAGTTCTGAGGTAACACACAAAAAATACAGTCTAATTGAGAACCTCTCCCTTTTATTGAAGTCGATTGAATAGTACCCACATATGTTTAATGTAATTTTGCCAAAGCAATGTTGATAATACCTAGCTCTGCATGGTGATTTATGAGCTATCTGGCAGCATGTGCAGCTAATATTTTTTGTAAGTTACATTGATAAAAATAAAAATAAATTGTAAAAATCGCTTTGCTAATAGACACGTATCATCCATCAAGTAAAGGTACTACAAATGGTTATGGTTTTAAGCCTTTGAGTATTCAACCTACTTTTTGGTTTAATACTCAAAGTTTTAAGCTAAGGCTTAGCAAAGCATATAAATTAATAAAATGGCCATAAGTTATATTCCGAAGCTTAATAAAAATATTTAAGTAATTTCTTATTTACGTAACATATAAAACGCTGCAGAAATTTTACAGTTTCATTGCATAATTTAGCTAGCTTTTTTTGCAGTCCTATTCATGGCAGATTCTGGGAAAATATTATAGTAACACTGCTTTCGTTGTATACTTGTTAATTTGGTATAGAAATATAGATGGATGGATAGGCGTCCATCTTGAATTTCACTGAATTTGTGCCGGTTATGTGATAAAAGTGTATTTTATAGATCAGACTTAACGTTACTTGTTAATTTTCAAGAAATTTATTTATTATTCTACTATTTAACGTATAAAATAGGATTAGCCTCAGTAATGTGTTAGGTATGGATTTTTGACTGAACCCTTTGATCATTTTGACGAATAATGGCGTGCGTTTTTCGCTATGAAGACTTTCAAATTTTGTTTCATGTCATCTCGTTATGAGTAGCTTTGTCTGTTCTATAAGCCATGCTTGATGATTGCTAAAAAACCATTCTAATATTTCATTAGGTTCATAGTAAATTTGTACAGTTTGGCAGATACCATTGAGTTGGATGTCGTTTTTAGGTTATACATCAATTCAAGTGACTCGTAATCGTTCGTAATCGCTAATAATGATCCTAGTGACGACTTGAATGATTAAAATATAATAGTCAAGTGTGATTAAAGTGAATATTTAAAAGTGACGTCGAAAATATTTTTATTCACAGTATCATTACTCAAGACTTATGCGATTTCCGGTAAGAATATCGTCGATAAAACCTTAGGTTGGCAAAGGTATAATACGATGGCATTACCTAGTAGAGCACGGGTATATGCCGATGTTAACTCACAAAAGCCTAGAGAATATTGGGACTATGAAAGCTATGTGGTCGATTGGGGTAATCAAGAAGACTATCAGTTGGTTCGCAAGCTTGGACGCGGGAAATACAGTGAAGTATTTGAGGCAATAAATATCACAAATAACGAGAAGTGTGTAGTTAAAATATTGAAGGTGAGTAACATTTGTATTAGATTGTGTGTCATAAATACCAGTCATTTTGTTCACAGTTATATACTATAAATGTTATATTATGAAATAAAAAAAAACAGTAATAAACTATGCCATTTGCTTACATTACAAAAAAATCTATTTGCCTACACTATTAATACTATAATTCAATTAAATTTAGTTTTCATTCATAATTCATAAGCAATAAGTAATTTTAAAGACTGCATTACTATGTATTGATGCTATTTTAATTGTTAAATACAGTTATTAATTATATCCCTCAACAGGGCAAGTACTAAGTCCACATTACCCTATGTTGCCACTTTAGTGATTTTGTTATTAGATCTAGACATCTCTAGAACCATTCTTTTTAGTGATTTATTCCGGTCATTGAATAAATTTTCAGTAGTGATTGCTAGTAATAATTTTACCCTCTATTGTGTAGTTTCCAAGGAATATTAAGTTCTTGATTTGTCCTTATTACCTTTTTTAAAGGATTTTAGACATACAACATGATTATTTTCATGAGAAACCAATAAAGGATTTTAAAAACTGATTACTTCGTAATATATAACTTGTCTCATTATGTGGTGGTTATAGTTGGTAAAAACTAAGTATTCATTTAACCACTCAATCACCATTAATTCCCAAGTAGTTGCATGCGTCTATCAAATCCCGAGCGACCGCACCCACCCACAGCACTTTAAGGTATAAAAACTTATATTAAGAGACTACTTTTCTACGTAGAAGTTTGGCATTATAGAATCTATTTAAAATTCTCTATCCTATAGTTTAAACAAAAGTCAGTTATTCATTGGATTTTCATTTTTTAAAGGTTGCATGTGACCGCGCCAACCCACAGCACTTTAAAAAATTAAAACTTATATTTAGAGACCACTTTTCTATTAAGAAGTTTGGCATTATAGATTCTATACAAAATTCTCTATCCTGAGGTCTAAACAAATCAGTTACATTATGGATTTTTATTTTTAATCTACTGTAAAGTTTCGCCATTTTCCTATAATTGGCAAATACCGCAAATTGTAACTATCTTTTGTTTAGACTACAGGATAGAGAATGTAGTATAGAATACCCAGATGACCGAGCTTTGCTCTTTTTTGATCTTATTGACAATAGAAAAAACTGGTTATTTGAATAAAAAATCATAAGTGCAATTAGTTTAATTGAAATTTACGTATTTTAAAAAAAATACTAAAAAAAGGGCTCGAAATAATAGATTTTCTCATAAAAGAAGGGAACTTGAAAATAAAGGAAAAAAAAGTCTGACCGAAGAAGTGCGAACCAAGACATTACGATGTTGCGACCGCTCAATATCCACTTGAGTTATTACGATCATTAACACAGTTTCAAAATTTACCTTCTTATATTGTAGCAGTTTTTCATTGTCTGAAAACATGGACAAAAAGACATTTTCTAAAAATAAATCCTAGCTGGATCGATTTATTGCCCCCGAAACTCTCTGAACACTAAATTTTATGAAAATCATTGGAGCCGATTCCAAGATCTGATTACATATATATATATATTATATATAACAGTAAACCCTTGTTAACACAAACACAAAAAAAATCAGACAAATAGTTCGTGTTACAAGGGAGTTTATGTAATCCGAACAATGCAAAAAATGAATGTGTGTTTCTAAACTCAATATTATGTATTCATCATACAAACATTTTATTAATAACTGATATTATTATTTTATATTTACAATAATTTTTTATTATAAATTTTTTAACTTAACATTATTATTACATATCATTTCTAACTTAACATTATTATTATGTTCATCAGACATCAGTTTTTATGTATGCCAAATTGTTAAGAAGTGTACATATAAACTGCAAAAAAAAACATGAAAACTAGTTTTCAAAAGTTCACAACCTATTCAATAGCTTTTGTAAGACGGAAAGAAAATTTGAGGTATTGTTTCTATTTTTAGAGTGAATGTTTGATATCCTAATCCTTTGTCTATTTTTAGAAACTCGAGTTAATGACTTTTCTAACCTCTTCAGCCATTGTTTACCGGTATTTGTATTGACCGAAAAAGGACAAAAAATATACAAAATACATGATTTGGGAATTTTTATAGTTCGTATTATCCGATAATTAACCGTGAAGGGACGAAAAAGTTGTTCGAAGTTCGGATTAACGAGGGTTCGTCTTAACCGAATATAATTCTTTCATAATTACATTGAAGCTTATGGAACTATTGTCTAGAGCAAATTTTTGTTCGCCTTAAACCAAAATTGGTTTTAACCGTGTTCGCATTAACGAGGGTTTACTGTATGTATATATATATATATATATATATACATACATATATATATACAAGAATTGCTCATTTAAAGGTATAGGATTCTATAATGCCAAACTTCTTCATAGAAAAGTAGTCTCTAAATATAAGTTTTTATGGCTGAAAGTGCTGTGGGTAGGTTTCTCATGAGACCGAATGAGATAGCGATAGAGATAGAGATGGAATAGCGCGGCCGTCTCTTGAGACCGCTAGGGGATTGAGGGGTTAAGGTTTTTTAATTCAGCGACAGCTGCTGTTACACTCAGAGTGAAGGTTTTGGACAAAACTACTAATTTACTAAATATAAGCAAATTTGTGACTGTACTAAAACCAAATAGTTCAATGTGATGATGTTTGGTAACTGATCTAGTGATTTAAATATTTTGTCGCTTGGCAACACCTGCCATGTCGTTCTTCTGCGTGTTTGCAGACTTTACAACTTTATATGTCCTCCAAATATTTTGTTTTTTATTTAATCTAGCAAGTGATAAATAATCACTTAAAACTTGCAATTAATAATTCATTCGGTGATAGTAGGGATTGAATTTTGTTTATCCTCTTGCTAATGAAATCTGTGTTTAGCTCCTGAACCATCACAGCTTACTTCTGTGTGTTTTTAACCAAGTTTATGATTGGTTTCAGCCTGTTAAAAAGAAGAAGATCAAACGAGAGATAAAGATTTTAGAAAATTTAAGAGGTGGCACAAACATTATAACATTACAAGCTGTAGTTAAAGATCCTGTATCTCGTACTCCTGCACTCATTTTTGAACATGTGAACAATACTGATTTTAAACAACTATATCAAACATTGTCAGATTATGATATAAGGTAAAGTTTCTAAAATAAGTTTTATTAGACCTGTATTTTATTTTTCTCAGGATCAAAAACTGCAATTGTTAATGTTTTTAGGTATTATTTGTATGAACTACTGAAGGCTTTAGATTATTGCCACAGTATGGGTATTATGCACAGAGATGTGAAGCCACACAATGTTATGATTGATCATGATAATAGAAAGTTGCGTCTTATAGACTGGGGATTAGCGGAGTTCTACCATCCAGGGCAGGAGTATAATGTTCGTGTTGCTTCTAGATACTTTAAGGTGGGTTTATGAAAAGACTATTAAAATATTAAATTGTTAATGGTGTTGTATTTTGAATAGGTTTTTTTTTCTCCATGAAGAAAAATAAATAATTTTTAACAAAGACTGCCTAAATAAGACTAAACTTAAAAATTTATGATTTGAAATACATATTTTATCTAGTTCTTAAAAATTAAAATATCCCTATTATGTTATAATAATAAACTAGAGTTTGTTATAATTTTTAATTTTGTACTTATTTCTTAATGTGTATCAAAATATTCATTTTATACTTTCATATTTTCTAAATTATTATTTAAAGTAAATTTTGGTATTGCACAACATACTCTAAAGAGTATCATCATGTCCAATAACAACAAAAAAAAATACAGATTTAAATTATTACAACACTGCTAAAACAACAGTAAATAAAAAATCTAAACGTTTTATTTAAATCTTAGTGAATTTGAAATAAACATACTTCTCTGGTAATATTTCCAGGGTCCTGAACTTTTGGTGGATTATCAAATGTATGACTACTCGTTAGATATGTGGTCATTAGGGTGTATGTTGGCATCTATGATCTTCCGTAAGGAACCATTCTTCCATGGTCATGATAATTATGACCAACTTGTGCGTATTGCAAAAGTGCTGGGCACTGAAGAGTTATTTGAATATTTGGATAAATATCATATAGAATTGGATCCACGATTTAATGATATTCTTGGAAGGTATGCTATTTTACAAAGTATAATGTTGAACTATACTGCACAAATAGACACTATATATATATATTTTTTTTTGCTATATAGCAAGGCAATAATAGTGTTTTATAAAAAATTTCTTTCACTGTAATAAAAATATGCTTTTTCTTAGGCATTCACGTAAACGGTGGGAAAGATTTGTACACTCTGAAAACCAGCATCTAGTTTCTGCTGAAGCTTTAGACTTCCTTGATCGTTTGTTACGTTATGATCATTATGAGCGTTATACTGCTCGTGAAGCCATGGATCATCCATTCTTTTGTGAGTATTAACTGTTTAATTTTTTTACTAAATTTTTTTTATAGAATGACAAACAAGCACACAGTCCACCTGATGGTAAGTGGATGCTGTGGCCCATAGACATCTATATTTATCCTTGATTAAGAATCAATACACAGATGCATTGACATCCATGAGGACTAAGATGGAATGCCAAGTTTCCAATAAAAAAGGGTCTGGATCTCTACACTCACCATACGAAACACAGCAGTATTAAGCTGTTATATTCGCTAGTATTCTGTGAGTGTGGTCCTTCCCCGGTAGAGCTGACCCATTTGCGCTACAACCATAATATAGCTGCAGCGTGGCTCTACCACATGTGAATTATCTATTGAGATTGGGTGTTCAATACCATACGGTTACATAATAATAATAAAAATAGATTGATTGTGTGATGATAACATTCTGTTTAATTTGGTATGCATAGCACTTTTGAATGCACATCATTTCCTACTTTACTACCAAAATGGAGCTCCATACTATATATATAAATATGAGAAATCACATTTTAACCCTTAAAGTGACTATGGGTATGTTTCAAAACGTTTTCAGTATACTGCCGAATACAAATGATGTCATCAATTAACACTATATTTTACTAGCGTGCCGCCGTCATATTTTGTCGGATATTCGACTATAATAAAACAATTTTTTATTGTGTGTACGCTGAATGAAGCATGTCAGAATTTGTTTTTATTTCTTCAAATACAAAAAATTATGGAATAATTGCTGGTATCTCCATTAGGAGGATATAATGATTTTTGGAGCACAAAATGACAAAATAATCGCCGACACTTTTCCAATATGTCGCAAATGTATGACGTCATATACTGTCCTATGTTTTGGAACGAATCACCAGTATAGCGTCGATTCATGACGTCATTTGCATTGGACAGTACACTGGGTTCTATTTAGGAACATACCCTATATAGCAGATTAAACGTCTGACATTAAAAAAATATTACTAAGTTTCTACACGTTTTATTTGCAACTATTTCATTACAAGACATAATTCTGAACGTTTCTTTTTACGTCAAAATTAGGCTACATAGCTAATCTGTGGTAAATTTGAATCAGTTGTGAAAAATAACGAACATACCGTGGCCAGAAATTATTGTCAAGGTGAGTTTTACTTATTTTCGTGATTTTATTAAATTTGTTTTATTCATAAATCTAAAAGGTGAAGAGTTATTCCAACAATTGTGTAATATAAATGGCCTGAAAGTTGTTATATTTGGACTATTTTCACATGTTTATATTAGTGTATGGTATACTATACAGTGCTACAATCACCATTATTTGCCATTATATTTATTTGTGTAGAATAATATACATTGCTATTAACATGGTACTAACAAATTTTAATTGATTTGGTCTGATACGAGTTCCGCATAGTGCATAAATAACATTTTGGCTTTTATTTGGGTGATGGTTGAGCTGCATGTTGGTTTCCTTTTGTTTTAGACTATAATGAACGGAAGAGCGAGACGCATATTGTCTTTGGTTCCAGCACGTAATGCTGGTTCTGATGTTAGTGATGGATCCAGTAGTGATGATGAAGGCAGATATGTCGAGAGTTCACCAGTGGCGTTTTTAGATTCATAAATTGAAAAGCTCGATATTCTTGCAATGCAATTACGACGTAATACCTTTAATTTCTTCTGTACCATCTTTACCATCTGTGGCTCCCATAGCGGCTGTCACACCTTTAGTGACACGTGGATGAAGAAAACATACTGGGCCTTTTGTTTCCGTCTATAAAGTGAAAAGACGAAGTATTAAAAAACTAAACTACGTTTCCATTGGAAGAAAGTGTCATTTCAACACAGAGCTGACATACATAATAATACTTTTGAAGATGAAGTTCCGGTTGATTGGTCTCTTTTGGACTATTTTTTTTGATTTTTCCCCAGATATATGGTGAGCCATATAACGACGAATACCAATTTGTACAGAAAAACTGGATAGTTAATCTAAGTTGCAGAAGAGAAAATATTAGATTTTTTGGCTATTAATATTCTTATGGGTATAGTAGTTATACCGTCATACAAAGACTATTGGAAATCGTCGTTTAGGTACAGAAAAATTGCAGATGTCATGCCCTTGAGGCGTTTCCAAAAATTAAGAAGATTTGTACATTTTACTGACAACACTCAAGCTGATACTTCGGATAGGTGTTACAAACTACAACCCCTAATTAAATGCATTCGGTTACAATGTTTATCTGTCGAGGAAGAAAATGCTTTCAGTATTGATGAGATGGTCATACCCTACAAAGGTAAAAAAGCCGGCAGCCATAGTCAGTATAACCCAAATAAGCCAAGTAAGTGGGGCTTTAAAAATCTGGTTAGAGCAGATATGTCTGGTATTATCTACGACTTTCTACTTTATGCTGGCGATGATACGTTTACAGGTGTGCAATTTACCAATGAAGAAAAGACTGGGTGTTGGAGGGAAAATAATTTTGGCTTTATGCAGAATTATAAAAAAAAACAGGCATGTAATGTCGTATATTTTGATAACTATTTTACATCTTTCGAATTAGTATATATTTTATGAGAAAATTAGGGTATATTTAGTTTGAGAACTGATAGGAAAAATGAGTTGAAAGATGCAGAATCTAAAATGATTAACGATAAATCACTACAAAAGAAAGGAAGAGGGGCGTTTACTCAAGTGGTGTGCAACGACAATAAATTGAGTGTGGTGAAGTGGTTCGATAATAAGCATGTTAGGCTTGTAAGTTCCTATGTTAATGCTTTTCCTCTTGAGAATATCAAATGTTTCAGCAAAGAGTCGAAAGGACGCGTAGACATACAGTGTCCTCAAAATTGTCAAGCATTATGACCACCATATGGGAGATGTGGATTTGGCGGATATGTTAATAGCATTATATCGCATTGGTATAAAATCTCACACATGGTATATGAACATTTTTTTTCAGTTGTTGGACATTTGCATAAACAATGCTTGGCTGTTACGTCGTAGACACGACAACCAAATAAATAAAAAGAGGAAGCAAGATCGCCTAAAAGACTCGTTACGAAATTTATGCCGGACTTCTGAAACATAATCGAATTGTGGCTGTAAAAGACATTGTATCTGTACCCGAAAAATGTAAGATTGAGAAACCGATGGCCGAAGGCCTCTTGATAATGTGCGGTATGACAAATTTGATTAACCGGTTATCAACGCTGTAAATTTTGTAGAGGAGGTCAAGCAAGTACAATGTGTACAAAATGCAATGTATATATGCTATGTTATGTTTCTTGACGTACCACACGAAGCGGTAATAAAGTATAATGTATAGTATTCTATACATTGATAATCGCTGATTATTTTCATCGAGTTTGGCAATGTATATTATATTATATATAGGTTTTTCCAGAAAATAAAACCTCAAAATTTGTTTTGGTATTTTTTAACTTTTAAATGCCTAATAAACCATTAAAACTATTTTAGTTGTTTTAATTAGCTAAAAGTATTGAGCGACTTTAAGGGTTAATTTTTTATATATATTTTATTAAAAATAACTCCAAATAATCCAAAATTGTGACTTAATATTATCTGTGTTTTGTCTTGAAATATCTTGTAGTAATTTTAAAGAAGTTCTACTTACTAAGAAATATTAACAGGATTTTGCAATAAAGATTGGGTATTTTTGTATAAAATATGAATAGATAGCTTGAAGTTAAGATTTTATACATTAAGTAATGGGCCATTTACATGATGCAAGTTTCTTGCTTGTTGGATATGTTTCGATTCAATACTTTTATGTAATTCTTGTATTCTATTGAACTTTTTCTTCATTTGTAAACATGAGTGCAGAAGGTTTTTCTGAGACAATAAATAATGAGATAGCATCGTAAAAAAAAGGTATTGGATCAAAAAAGAAAGGAAGGAGCTTCTCGGAGAATCTAGCAATGAATGAAATCAAAGATGATTTTAATGCCATAGGTAGCGAATTCGTCAGCCCATCTCACTCATCTAATATAGAAAAAATATTTTTTTTTGTTTGTATTTTATGCATTGCCATACCGTTATCAGTTTTTGGTAAAACTTTGTCAACATATTGTTTGCATTTTCGCGAAAGTTGTAGGCATAGTTTGATCCGGTAGGTAGCGCTGTTGTAGAATCCAAATGTCACCCGTGCGAAGCCGGGGCAGATCTCTAGTTAGAAATAAAAAAATTCAAATTGGCACTTATAATATTATCTTTGTTTAAATCAAAAATTTAAAAACGCTTTAAAAATGTAAACATAAATTGAATTGTGTTGCCAGTGGTACAATGAAGTCTGAACAACAAGTCCACCTGGTTGTAAGTGAATGCTGTGGCCCAGAGTATTTTATCTTCGATTAAAATCAAATTACAGATGCTTTGTCACTCCTGAGGACTAAGATGGAATGCCTCATTTCTAGTAAAAAGGTTCCCCAGTTTTCTCTGCACTCATCATACTAAACACAGCAGTATGAGGCTGCTTATTTATGCTGGTGTTCTGTAAGAGCATGATCCTACCCCGGTCGAAAAGCCCATTCGTGCTACAACCACTATATATAGCTACAGCATAGCTCTACCACTTAAAAATAATAATTATTACAACAATTTATGTCGGTTCTGTTTTCAATGCTGAGAATTTTGGATCAAACTTTATTTATTCCTCATCATCATCATCCTTACCAACCCTCTAAGGTCTAAGTCCATGCTGAACATAGGCCTCTCCTCAGGAAGATATCACTAAACATAATCTTGAGCCACCTGAACCCATCTATACTTTCTGCATCTTTTACCAGGTCGTCACTCCATATAGCGGGGATCGCCCTACATTTCGCTTAACTGTACGTGGCTGCCACTCAAAAATTTTTCTCGATTGCTTCACTTTGGCAGGTTTTGGTTCCTTTTGAAAAAGGCAGACTTGCGTTCCGTTTCTGGATTTTATCGATGAATTCATCGACTGTTAAAATGCCATACACAAAAACGTATAAAATACGCATACGCATAAAACGCTTCAAATTTAGTTTTAATGTCATGGCACTGTGCTAGCATGCTTCTGAGCTCCGGTTAGCTCTCACGCGAAGGTTTTCATTCAAAATCTTGTGAACGCTTCCTGATCCAATTTGCAATATGTGCTGAATCTCTTCATACGTAATTTGCCTGTGCTTTGCTAGCACGATTTCATTGTAACAGCCATCAAAGGGTGACCACTCTTTTCTGTCTTTTCTCATATCAAAGTCAGTCGACTGTGCTGAAATTTGGTATACCAGCAATACACGGTTGCCTTAGAAGCCTTTGTTTTATAAATGCCATTTGAAATATATCAAATGATTCATATAGTAAGTAGAATAGAAATGAACAATTTTTATTCAAAATGATTTTAATTTATTATTATAATTGAAATGTATTTTTTATTTTAGGAAATTTCAATATTTGTATTATTAATTTGTAAATAATAATATTTTTCAAATTAGATTGTTACTGATCAGTGTATCATATCAAAAATACCTTTTTTGCCGCTAAATTTTTGAGTGGCCTGTCAAATGCTTACACTACTTGCAGTGGCGTAGCTATGTAATCAAGGGCCCCGGGGCAAAAATTAAACTAGGGCCCTATTTGAACTAACTAAACACGTAGGGTGCAAAACTACTTCATCATTAACTTTTTATCACCCACTGCAAGGCATAATATCGCAAAGCTACCTACTAATAAAAGTAGTATGTGTAACGCAGCAGATAATATTTATTTATTTATGCTTTCATGCACAAAAAAGTACATATTATGGCGGACTTAATGCCATATGGCATTCTCTCCCAGTCAACCATTAGGCTAAACAGAGATAGACATTATGGAGGCGGTGCAGCAATAATCAAATAGAGAGGATAAAAGAAATAATATATATATATATATAATAAACAATACATACATATATATTAGGTAATATGTTTTGTACTTCAAATCTATCTATCTATGTTATGTATAATATATATCGCAAGTATATTATCAAAGTAAGTTACAATTTCACTGGTGATATTATAATTGAACGGTAGATTATCTTCATCTCTTACTTACGAACTTCTTTTCTTACTTACGAACTTAGGCATCCCAACTCGGACTGGATTGGTTAGAAAGAGATTCCTTTGTATTTTTGTATTTTTTTATAAACCACTCCGAATTAGGAGCCCCGCAGAGCGGAGAAAAAGCCGGCCGGAATTGATCAAAAGAAAAGGAATGGTCTTTCATCATGATAATCCCTTATAGTCCGATTATAGTCCCGACCTTGCAACCTCAGATTTCACCTGTTTCAGTGTCTTGGGAATTCTTTGGGGGGTGTTATGTTATAGTTGTAGCACAAATGGGTCGGCTCGACCGGAGTACAGGACTACGCTCTCACAGCTTACCAGCGTAAAATAGCAGCGTACCTATTGCTGATGTGTTTCTTATGGTGAGTGTAGAGAACCGGAGACCCTTATTTGCATTTTGATCCTTAATTGACGATAAATGTGAATGTCTATGGACCACAGCATCCACTTACGATCGGGTGGACTGTGTGCTCGTTTGTCACCTAATGCTATAAAAAAAGTTATCAAACAAAATGGCACATATTATGTATATATAAATAAATTTAATTAAACGTTGAAGAAAAGTCTTGAATTTGTGTATAAAATACGAAGAAACTTTTTCCTCGCCTAATATAAATGTGAAATTTTGAATCTTTGCTACGCTTTCACGTCAAAACTGTAATATACAGGGTCATTTTTAATTTACTGAAGACCTTTGGGGAATATATTATTTACACCATAACAACAACATCTGTAAGAAAAAAAATATATTTCTTCAATTTTTATTTTCATACAAAAATAAAAATATTTTAATTGGAGCTTCTAAACGGTAATAGTCCTAGTTAGCAATAAAAAGCGCGTGGCGAGGGATGGGTGGAGGGGTGTAGGAGGCGACGATTCTCATTTAAACTTGACCTAATTAGTAACCTGTGTCGTCAGTCGGCTCTGATGCGCCCGCGACGCTTGTCTTTTCGTTGTGAGATTATTGTGAACGTTACCTTGTTACGATGGCTTACCGATACTCAAATGTTGAGTATACCGAAATGTGCGAATTTTAGCAATTTGCAATGATAATGTTAGTGAAGCCTGCCGTGAATATTCAAGGCGATTTCCCACCGCGGCGCACAATACGTGAGCAGGAAGACATACTGCAGTTTTTTGAAGAAAATCCAGCAGCGAGCACTTATGAAGTAGCCCGACAGTTCAATGTGTCACAATATTACGCATGGAGTGTCATACACAATGAAGGGAAGTACCCCTTTCACCTGCACCGTGTTCATGAACTCAGCGAAGCTGACAAACCTGCGCGAGTTACATTTTGTAATTGGTTACTAGCTGTTGAACGAGCTAACATTTTATGGACTGATGAAGCAACATTTGGCAGAATAGGGCTATTTAATACGCACAATGAACACTTGTGGTGCTATGAAAATCCACATGAACCAAGACCACATAGCTTTCAACACCGGTTTAGTGTCAATGTGTGGGCAGGCCTTACAACGTTACTGGGCCCTGTTTTCATAGAAAGATTAAATGGTGAAAGCTATCACAATTTTCTCACCGACACGCTGCCAGGATTTTTAGAGGATATACCACTTGCATCTCTACGCAATATTTATTATCAACTTGACGGGGCACCGGCGCATTATGCTCGTCAAGTTAAGGATTATTTAAACAGAAAATACCCTGGACGCTGGATCGGACGTGGCGGGCCTTGTGCATGGCCTCCCAGATCGCCAGATATCACACCAATGGATTTTCATTTGTGGGGGCATGTAAAGACATTAGTGTATACTGGTCGCACACTCGAAACCCGCGACATGTTGAAAGAAAAAAAAAACTTGGGCATTCGATCAAATCAAAATAAATACTCAACTTTTATCTCGTGTCGGTGAACAGTTAACTTTTAGGTGTCACCTATGCATAGAATGTGGAGGTGATTATTTTGAACGCTATGTGCGCGATACTCACCGCCATCCGCGAACGAGTACCTCTAGTTCTAATGTATAAATTTGTATTTTAATATTTTTATTGAACCCTTTTCACCTAAATATTTTTATTCAATTACTGTTGTAAAATGTGTGTTAATATCTGTATTTAATCATTATAAATATTTTATTGTAATATTTGTAATTATTTTAACCCGCATCCATTTTTTAAATACAAATTTATCAATAAAAAATAGCTAATAATACTCGACATTTAATTTGCACGTGCTGCGAACCGAAAAGGGCAGGCGCGGCGCCTTTGATGACGCCTGTATCGACGTCAATATACCTTTGGCTTGGCCTTCGTCTGCCGTACGTGCGAAGTTGCTTGAGGCGTTTCTAACCGCCGGAGGCGGCGTTGCCATCCGAAGGGAGCATTACTGGCAAGCAGTGATCGTAACAAACTACCTAAATGTTTATTATACAATGTCTATAAATTCGTAAACAAATTAATAAAATAATCAAATAGTTAATCAAATTGCTTTATGCAAAAAAGGAGTATATGAAAAGTTAATGTAAATTTGTCATTTGGAGTGGCGCCCTGGTACCATAGGCACCGTGTGAATAGTTTAGTAGGCTGTATAAAAAAGTACTCTGTGGGCAGTAGGCACTCGCGACACATTCAGCTGAGCGCGAGCGCCGACCGGCGCGATGCGGCGGCGCGTCGAAGAGGTCATATAACTGCCGACATAAGTCGTGAGCACACTTTTTATTGGTCGATACGACGTTGACCACCCTGACGTTCAACGTGATTGGTTCATTAGTCGATTCTCGTCGTCTATTGGTTTCGAACTTTTCATTCGGCTTCCGTACACTTCAGAGCAATAATTTTAATGATAACTTTTTTAATAAATTTATTTTCGTTAATTGTTTTTGTCAGCTCGTTGTTAATTGTTGTTTGTGTATTCCTTGTTATTAATTGTTTTTGTTATTTCTTGTTTTTAATTATTTTTGTTGTTATAATTTGAGTGTTCAGATTTTGGTCTAAATATGCAGAGAAGGAAGAATTCGGTGTTAAATAGACAATCCCGACAAATTTTCTATTCAGTGTTTAGTTACACGAAAAAATTAGGTACTGCGAAAAACATCATAGACGCATATAAACAGATTGCTGTGGCGACTAATGTCTCAGTAGCTACTGTACGGCGCACCGCAACACCAGATTTTATGGAAGGCATATCACCTCTTCCTTCTTCTTTATAAAATAATCAATTCTAACCACCAGGTATACATTAAATACTTTATAGTACATAATAAAATAAAGGACATGAATATCTGCAACATTACTGTATCAAAGTAAAAGTTGATGTGTTCGAGTAACCATTTTGATAAAAGTCGCCGAAAATATTAAATTACGAATTGAAATAATAAAGGTATCCAATAATTTTGCCCGACAGTGTACCTACCTCCCACCACAGTTTATCTGTGCTCACCACTCGTGTCGACAACTATACTTTATAATTACCTATTACTCATTTTATGTATTTGTGATTTTTAAAATACAGACTTAAAAGGAGTCAGACATGATAATAAAAACTTAAAAGTAGCTTTTATGTAAATGTATTACATTCTGTAAAGAGTGATCTCGCTAAAATCGTTTGTAATTATGCCACCATTATATTCCCAAAAGGTCTTTAATAAATTAAAAATGACCCTGTATATATTGAATAAAATTATTTTGTTCTTTATTATATTTATTGCCATAAACTAATTAACATGTACATATACTAATTGCCATCGATAGCAATTTTTTACTTAAATATGGAGTAAGTAAGATAAGAAGCGCAATCTTTTTTACACCATAATGTTGTAACTTAGACTAAAGACGATATACCGTCACACATTTTTTTATTATTGAGTTTCCCGGATGATACCTTCCTGTGAATTTTCTTCAGTTGTCGTGAAATTGTTGTATATTTTTGTTACAGATCCAATTGTAAAAGAGCAGGGTCGAATGGTGTCATCTAACTCTCCAACTCCTAATGCACTACAAGGACCAATAAGTTCTACAGAATAATTGTTATAAAACTCAGTAATGCTCTTTGTAAAACTATATATTGAATATTTACTTTTACAAGATTCCAGAGGGATCCATGAGAAAGAATAAAAAGTCCATTGAAGTAAAGAACACAAGGGGCACAGTGAAGAGCAACATCTCTGTTAAACCAATAATGATAACTGTAATGTAATTCCAATGTTTGCAAAATGAAGTATAATTTGGAAAGACAATATAATTTAGTGTTTAATGTTAGTAAAAATCCGGTTTATTCATTGTTTTAAAGTGTTTTTTCTCTTAGTCCACGAAGGTGTACTCAAGTTACTTTCGAAGTATTTTATGGTGGTTTTGAAATTTTACAGAAAAGTTCAATATCCATCTTTTTTTTGTGAAGTTCAATATTAAGTATTGAGAGGAAAACATTTCGAGTTTCATTGCACTTGATCTTATGCATTTATTAACCTATATTGTAATTACTTGTATAATATAATATTGATAACACCTGCATACAGATTGCAAAATACTGGTTAGCAAAACATTTCGTTGGTACTAAAATTAAAATTTTGTATTTATGTAATAAAAGATAAATGTAGATATGTGTGTTATAAATACAAAATTTTAAGATTTTATTGTTTCTTTTCATTACATGATATAAAATTAGTAATGTCAAAAATAAAATATTGCTTCTTATTAGTATATTTTAGTAAGTTATGTTAGCTGACCCTACACTTATTATAGATAAATGAAAATGAATTTCAACTTAAAGGTGGGCCTCGATGAATATAATTTATTTTTATTGTGATAACTACAAGTTGTTGCATCCAAACTTTCTTAATAAACAGACTAACTTTGCCTGGAAATGTTTTCGATTTTTTTATTAATTACATGAACTCGTCGCCGTGAGGTGGCCGTATAAGGGATACCATCCCTTTTAATAGTGTATGTATCGTAAGAGGCCACTTGCGAGGGGATCAGGTCTTGTGTAGAGCCCTTTACAAGTCCATTGCTGAATATAGGTCTCTCAAGGAATGCCACTCAACGCGGCCCTATGCTATTGACTTCCTGCATCTATTAATACCAGGTTCTCAAGTCTTCAAGAAAAGAGCTTACTCCTTTCTAAAGGGCCGGCAACGCACCTGCAATTCCCCTGGTGTTGCGGTTGATCATGGGCGGCGGTAGTCACTTAACATCAGGTGAGCCGCATGCTCGTTTGCCCACTCTTCAATAAAAAAAAAGGTTGTCCCTAAACCTTATCGAGGCCATTTTACACTTCGGCTACCGACACAAGGCTGCCACACCCTAAACCCTTCTTACCCATCGGTTGTCGGTTCTTCGAGCTATATGCCAAAAATATAATCGAACCGATTGCCACTTTATCTTACTGATCTGTTGGATTATGTTGGTTACTTTGGTTCTATTGCCGATGTTCTTGTTTCTAAGTCTCTCCATTGATCGCTGAGCTACTTTGAGATTCCTCATATGGCCAACAATGGAGAGACCACGTCTTAGATCCATATGCTGTCAGTGGCAGCAGTGCCGGATTAAGCAAACGCGGGGCCCGTAGCGAGCCCTTGATCTGCTATAGATTTTCAAGTATAAAGCGGTACAAAACAATTCAATAATCAGTTCATAAGTTTCAGTTTCACAAGTCATAAGTTTATTTGCGATCTATAGGGTACAATTTTGTTGGTGTTTAATAGTACAGTAGTTTACTATAGGCCCTGTCAGGTTCTGGCAAGTACAAAAATCCGTACGTGAGATTGTTCTGGTAATTTAGAATGGTTTTGATAAGAAACTAACAAGTTAAAAGTGACGATACTAACAAATAATTGTAAAATAAATGTTTTTACAATTATTTGTTATTAGGTATCGTCACTTATTTATACTAGTACATTTTTAAAAGTTTATATTTATTACAAAGTATATTATATTTTCAGGAATAGCTAATGTTAAATTTGGAGTACTTAAATTATGTATATATTCTATAATTATTTATCTGTAGCTCTTATTACTTTTTAAACGTCTACGAAGTAACTTTTCTAGATTTCATGTGGGCAAATTTAGAAATAATACGAGGGTGACATTGAAAGTTCTTATATAAAATCAAACTGAACAAACGGAAGTTATTAGTTTTATTATATCTTTTCAAAATAGTGTCCATTTACATCAATACATCGCTGCATCCGATGGAACCACTGAGAAAAGTACTTAGCCCACTCGTCCTTAGGGGTCTCTTCGACGGCATTTTGAAACGCAGCCACTGCTTCCTCGGCGTCCATAAAACGCTTTCCTCGAAGTTTTTCTTTTATTTTCGGAAATAAATAAAAATCGCAAGATGCGATGTCGGGGCTATAGGGTGGGTTACCCAGTAATTCCACGTCTGACGTCGTCAAATAGTCGATTGTTTGTTTGGCGATGTGCGACGAGGCGTCGTGGTGAAGGAGGATCCTACTGTGAGGTCGTTTCTCCTGAATTTTTTCCATGACAAGTGGCAAACAGTTGTTAGTGTATCTACCACTCTGCAGTAACCGTTTTTCGATCCTCTCGATTTGGTTTCGATGATGTTGGTGCTGCTAGCCTATGCGGCTGTTACGTCTTCATATTATATACTCGTTTCGATTCGATCTTCTAAAACAATTGTTGCGTAATGACCTGTCCTTCGGAAGAACGAGACCACCATCTTTTTCTCACGCTTCGACCTCTCTTCACTTTAGTTGGCAACTCCTCGGAAGGAAACACCCAGACAGCAGACTGTCTCTTAGTTTCAGGCTCATAACAATAAATCCAGCTTTCGTCACCCGTAAGTATGTCGAACACAGCATTTGAGTCACCTCCATTAAATTTTCGAACCATTTCACGACACCAATCAACACGACGGAGTTTTCGGGCCTCTGTCAAATTATGAGGTATCCACTGGGCACAAAGCTTCCTGACTGCTGAATATTCATGGGGGATTTTGTGCATTTGACTCATACCGATGCCTAAGCTTGTCCGAATCTAATGATTTCTTATATTTACGCGAACACTACACATTGAAATAATACTAGTTTTTTTGGATTTTGTCGCGTATATTTAACTTTTTAAATACCCGACTTATCGAGAGCTTTACAGCACCCATGGTCACGGGGGGACTGAGATGTTCAACGTCCAGATGTCATAGTTAACCGTGGTTACCATAGATTAAAATTTAACTTTTGTTCCGATCTACACAGTATGATTTTATGGTATCTTGAAGTCTTGCAGTTGTATGCTTGGGTTGGGATTTAATTTCATTTATTATAGGATCCCAAGCAGATGGTAGCATCCACCCATCTTATCTATTGAAATTAGGATGTTTTTTGATTTCAATAGCCTCGTGAATCATCCTTGGAAGAAATCGGTGTTCTTTAGCAAGGATTTGTGGTCTATCAAATCTGATGTAATGACGGGGGCGATCCTGTACGTGTTCACAGACTGCTTTGTTGTTGTCCGAATCTGCTGATAAGTCACTCTTTTGTCAGTCTCTATCGTACGCCGCAATGTTATCTTTAGTCGTCGCCGTAAAAGCCCGTCCCTCACGCAGATCATCGGTGAGATTAGTGCGACCACGTTTAAACTCATTAAACAAGTTGTAAACAGTGGCACGAGATGGAGCTTCATCGTGAAAGGCTGAAAGGCCAATCGAAGTCTATCATAACTTTCTTGTGGACTTAAATGACATCGTTGTACGAAAATTTTCTCGCGTAAATCCATGCTGACGTAACACAGACAATTTTCAATTTGCCGCCAAATCGTAAACAAGTGACAAATCAATAAAATACATACACAATGGGTGCGTTTGGCAGAAAAAAGCGCTAGCAAGCGCTTACAAGCGCTGAAATAGTTTTCGGCCAGGACACGATTGCTACTTCAGTAGCGCTGACACAATCCGCCATTTTGCATATTTAGTTTGTTTGTTTTGAAGTAGAGTTTATAAGTTGTTTTGAGCAATATTAGTTTTAAGTAATATAATGACATGAATAAACATAATATACATGTTATTAAAAATTCATAATTGGTAAGTTTTTAATATGAATACTTTACAAACATATTTAAATTAGGTTAGGTTCCCCGGTTAAAACTAACCACGTGTCCTAGAGGAAAACAGCTACTTACGATTTGACAGCGCTTACGATCGCCATTTTGTTTACAAGCGTTTGCTAGCGCTCTTTTCTGCCAAACGCACCCAATGATATTGGCAAAAAGAGTTACATTTTTAAAATTTGAACTTATTTTTTATTAGGTACATCCTTTACAAGTGACCAGTTCTAAAAACTCAGTGTCGCCTTCGTAATCCGTAAGTATCAACTTTTCTAAGCAGTAACATTCAGGGAAATAATTAAGGCGTTAATGACTCATAGTGTTCCCCATAGAGGAAAGTAATATTGGTGTTCCCTAAATTACTTTTTTAAACGGTTCAATGTCGAAAATGAACGTTCACCCCTGCAGTTATTGATCAAGAGACAATAAATGCGTTAAGCAGTTTCTAAATTGGGGAAACATGACTCTAATGGGTTATCCTTGAGGAATTTATATTGAATTTATGGAAATTCAATGGATGTGGGTCGTCGCACCACCCACATAATTCGCCGTCTATGGTGTATTCCAAACCATTTGCCGTCCGTTAAGTGTACTAGAACCGCTAAAATGGTGGTAGGTATTTTGTGATACGCGACACCGCCACAGGCAATCACAGCGCACCGTTCAAGCCAGCCAATCGTAGCCAAGCTAAGCCAAAGCCACCACTCTCCGGATGCCTCCGATAGGGGGTCCAGCTATATAGTGCCTTACAATTTCATTTTTGGGTCAGTGCTTACACTACTGCTCTTTATAAGACGAAACTGTTCAAAATATTTGAATTAAATATAGTTATTGTGTTTATAGTTTTCTACCTTATTTTTATTTACTTACTCTTACATCGCAGAAGTGGGATTAGAAGTGAAAACAACGAATCGTCATCACGTCAATATGCCAAGGAAAGGCCGTAAACTCCGCCCACAAGAATGGAGTGAATCACCACATTCATCCGAAAAAAGCGACGAGGTCACACCACCAAATACTCTTCTGGCACGGAAACTCCTTGGAAGTCTATTGGAAACCGAGGTACAAAAGGCAATGCAAGAGTTAAACGAAGAGTTCTCTCAATAACCACAGGAAAAGAACACCTTGCGGCCTCACTTATACCAGAGTTCGACCCCGATAGTGAAGAATGTAGTAATGCAACAGCGTGGCTCAAAAAATGGATCAACTCAGCGAAATTCACGGCTGGAGTGAAACTACAAGGTCGTTTTACCTGCAACACAGACTAAGAGGTCAAGCAAGACGATGGTACAATTGGCTTGATGAGTACGATTATTCCTGGCAGGAATGATAGCAGATGCTAGCGCGCTTTTCCTAAACATCGCAATTTCGGGAACATGTTAGAAGAGATGATGAGCAGAAAGAAACTACCAACGGAATGGATGACGAAATACTGCCAAGACAATATGGCCATGTGCTTCCGGTGTAAGTTGTCTAACAACGCAAAGGTCTCCTGGATCATTTGTGGTCTAACATCATCACTACAAGCGAATGAGAGAGCATATCAGTGCGAGCATCCCGAAGAATTATATGAAGGCTTCCTCCGTGCGCTGGATGACTATCGGCGTGTGAAAATAAAGATACCAGCAATCGACAGGTAATCGATAAAAAATCGCCTATTAACCTGGACATTTGTCCGTGTCCGCGCTGTAAGAAGACCGGCCACATATTACGTAACCCTTATCCAGATTCGCGAACATGCTTCAAATGTGGCAAGCAGGGCCACATTGCTACGCGCTTCGCAATCGCTCCGAAACCTGCGACAGCGACTGATGGTAAAGTTAAGGAAATTAAAAGTTTTTACAAAACCACAATAAGATTTACGAAATAGCGGTAAAAATCAATGGCATTCACGTTAAATCTTATATTGACACCGGCAGCCAAGTAAATGTACTATCTATCCACGTGTCGAGACTATTAGATCTCAAAATCAGCCCGACCAGCATCATCCTAAAGGGATTCTCGGGAGCGCATTTACCTAGCTACGGTGAGAGGTAGCTTTGAAACTAGAACTCGATAATATGTATATCACTTGCAAGGCTCTATAACGGCGAGCATTTGACAGAAGTTTGTTTCGACCGCTTTGGAGGAAGACTTCAAAGCTTTGATTTTTACTGCCGGATGAGAGAGAGCTTTATTTATCCAGATTTTCACAAATTTTTGGTTTTCGTTCAAAATGACCGCAAACTCCATTGACATTATCGCGGTGAGATTGAAGCACGTCAGTTAATTTATTTACATGATCGTGTGTTGCCTTTATATTATATATTTTGTAATTGAATGCACACGGGTTCAAGTACGGCAGAATAAGCAGGAATTACTAAGTGTCACAATGTACGAGTATGTTGGAGTTAGTTGTAGTCGTGTAGAGCCGATACGCTTTGGTTTACGATTTAGAGTTCGATGTCTCTTGCGAAAGTTCTTCTAATTATTAATTTGTACAATAGTCAGTATTCAGAAAATTTTCTGATACTTTTGTACTTTTAAGAGTTTTGTAATAAATTTGGAATTTTATACCGCCCAAACACAAAAATTATAAAGTCCTTTGTTGTCCCAGTAGTATTTCTCATATCACTGACATTATTCAGGATTTGGTTTTGGGATATATGTTTAAAATTTTATATAGTTAGTATTATAAAGGAAGGGTCCCATGAAGCAGAAAAACTTATCTTTGCGGCGCGCTTATACTTAAGAAAATCTGGGTTATAATGTAGATGAGAACGTTGTTTTAGTACGATATGCAGGATGAAGGTTTGTCTAACCGTTAGTACATCCCATTTTTTATACACCTCGTCGTCTGTAGGAAAATGGAAAGGGAGACCAGCACCTGCTTTGAGAATTGCACGTTGTGCTCTCTCTACTTCTATAAGATATGTTTTGGCACCTCTTCCCCATGATGTTATACAATATCCAATTAGAGATTGACATAAAGCGAAGTAAACTAACATTATAATACGGCGTTCTGCTATATGTTTTAAGGTTCTGAATATATATATGAGTTTTCGCAGACGGGATAATAAAGCTTCAAAGTGGGGTTTGAATGTTAGTCTGATCAATCAAAATGCCAAGATATTTGATTTTATCGGTTCTTTCTACTAAGGGACAGTGACATCCGGGAAGTCTAAGACCACGGAACCCAAGGGGTCAACAGTTGCCCAACTTCAAGGAGGATGGACTCTTGATGATGAAGTCTTTATTGCAGAAGCAGTCCTCAAGAAGTTTTTTTTATATAGGATAGGGTGACAAACGAGCACACAGTCCACCTGATGGTAAGTGGTTGCTGCGGCCCATAAACATCTACATTTATCCTCGATTACAAATCAAAATGCAGATGCGTTGTCAACCGTGAGGACTAAGATGGAATGCCTCGTTTTCAGTAAATAGGGTCTCCTGTTCTCTACCTCTACACTCACCATACAAAACAGCAACATTAAGCAACTATTTCACGCTGGTATTCTGTGAGAGCGTGGTCCTTCCCCGGTCGAGCCGACCCATTCGTGCTATAACTATACTACTAATATAACTGCAGCATGGCTCTACCACGTACACAAGTGGACCTAATCTACTAGCTCCGATGGTTCGACAAAAACAAAGACTGACTTTGACTTATGACGATGGCAACTGTTTAGTGATATCTCAGCTATTGCGAGTGTGAAAACTGGTAGCGATCACCGAATGTGAAGGTACACACTGTACCTTAAAATTAAGTTGGAGAAGTCACGTCTAATGAAGTCAACATTCCGTCCCTTTCGTGCTCTTATCCAAAACCCCGAAAACATTTTTGATTAAATATAGATTTGTGATTTCTGTTAAAGAGTGAATTTTCAATTAACAAACATGAAATTTGATTATGTTGGATTTATAGTGAGTTCATTATATGAGATACAGTGCACTTCCTACATACCTGGCTACACATTAATCCCACATATATTTTGACCAACAAAACAAGATTTTCCAAACAGCATGCATCTATGTGCATGCAATAGCAAATACATATGTATGATATTATGATTAGAAAAGCTTTTCTGTTAATGGTTGCAGAAAAACGGCGGAGTTATTATTATCAAACTTAGATTAGAGTAACAATCAGCCTTTATTTATATAAAGGCTGATTGTTACTCTAACGTATAATAAAAGTCAAAAAAAAATATGTTACTTATTATATTTTTTATTTAAATTAGCTCAAAAGTGGAGTTGCCTAAAATGAGACGTATCTCAAATTAGGAACCCTAAGTATATCATATTAGGATACCTTTATGCTTGCATAGAAATTGTATTCTAACAATTGAAAATTTAGTGGCGCCGTCGACTCGTGTTGTTCGCGTATTATAATATTAATACAAGTTTAAACAGTAAGTAATAAAAAAAACCCGATTACGTAAAAAGTACTACTTCACAAATCAAGTCACTTCCACGACTGAGACGAATCTAACAACGCCCATATGTTACAATCCATCAAGCCGTTAAGGCTACAGAGCGTTACGTCTTTTTTTTATAGGATAGGGTGACAAACGAGCACACAGTCCACCCGATGGTAAGTGGTTGCTGTGGCCCATAGACATCTACATCTATCCTCGATTACGAATCAAAATGCAGATGCGTTGTCACCCGTGAGGGCTAAGATGGGAATGCCTCGTTTCCAGTTAAAATGGTCTCCGGTTCTCTACATTCACCATACGAAACACAGCAGCATTAAGCTAATATTTGACGCTGGTATTCTGTGAGAGCGTGGTCCTTCCCCGGTCGAGCCGACCCATTCGTGCTACAACTATACTACTAATATAACTGCAGCATGGCTCTACCACGTATGAGTCTCGAAAAACATATTACCCTTTTTCTGGGGCAGTCCGGTAAAAACCATCTTAATTTTTCAGGCTCACACAGATATTTAGATTGGAGATGAATAAATAGAAAACTATACATGAATGTTAAATTATACCTTTTTTATATATCTTTCTCAAATTTGTTACTAACATTAACAATTTTAACATTAATGGGGCAGTAAAACAAAAAATAATAATTTAATGCTATATTTTACTGTATACTATATTCAATTACTGCAAAAATTTAAAACACTGTCATAAGTTTTCTGACCCGCTAACTTTAAATAAATTATTATCATGCAATCCCGCTTCTAAATAGTTCTTACTACAGCAATAACAAAAGTGAGTATCAATAAAGGGAAACAATGACATCTTTATATCCTCTTCATCCTCTGAACCTGTATTCATATTGGCATTAATGGGCTGTCCATTTGATACTGTTCTTGAAAAAATAGTTGCATTTACTGCTGTAATCTTATCACTTTTCTTAGGGAGATTACTCTAAAAGTATTAGATACATCTTTATAAACATGGTAATATATTGTCTACACATCCATTACCATCCATCCATTACTATAAAAGTCAAAGTCAGAACATAGACTTCCCCCATAGATTGATTCGGGGGGGGGGGATTTTTTAATAGGGTTGTTTTTTTTTTTTTTTGGTTTTTTTTTGTTTTTTTTTTTGGTGGGGTTTAGCACGCTTGGCAAGTTTTTTGCCTTTTTGAGGTTGGCAACCGCAGTTTCTTATAATTTTGAGTCGTTATTAGGAAGAAGCTGCTACCCATTTCCTGGTTTGTTTCCATTTGTCGCCTCTTACGACACTCACGGGTCAATAAGGGGTTGTGGATATTACAACGCCGCTACACGGATTGCCTATACATTGTTTAAGTTTTATTTTAGGTAGATAACTAAATTAGAATGTAGCAACCGTTATGTACGTAGCGTACAATGTGTTATAATAGTACTAAATCGAGTTGCCTTGCTTAAGAACCAGCTAATATTATGATTACATGTTCTCTTTTTACCATTATCTTTCACTGGGACTATGTGGTTTGATGGTCAGTGAACGTAACGACTGCCCCCACTACCCTACCCTCCCTCACGCTGTGCCCATCTCTTGACTTTATTTCACTCTATCGCCTCTTGTAGTGATTTCTCTTACGGAACATCACTACACGGAAACTTGATTATGGCAACTTATTATTTATATAAACATGCATGGATGTATCGGCAAATTTCGAAAAAATCTAATGTGAGTCACCAAGTGTAAGATCATTGCCTCTCGCGAACGCCCCAGCATAAAATGAAGACTCCGCCCTTGCTGGCGAGCCACCTCCAGTAAATTAAAGACCCCTGAGCGAGGTTGGAATTACAGCGGAGCTTCTGATAGTGGGTGAAAACTGGAATTTAAAGTACTTCGGAAGCTTTTGAAGTCTATCCTCCATAGTGGCGCTAATCCGGAGGTGTGGAACATAAGCGCGGTGGTGTCGTCCCTCAATAAAGGCGACAACGCCTTATTGAAGAACTACAAACGGATTTACCTTTTGATCCGCGTGTAAGTGCTGTTTTCGAAAGTCATAACGATCTCGTAACGCAAAGTTGATGACTTTCAACTTATCAAACAAGCCGGTATTCGGAAAGGCTTTAGTAGGTACTATAGATCGCAGATATCACCTTTGGTAAAATGTACAAAAGACCGTAGAGTACAATCAGACACTTAGTCTTGTGTACGAGAGGCGTTTAATGTATTCTCGGTAAGTATTCCTTTTCTTTTCACTTGAAAAAATATTCTTCGGCTTGACTTGAAAAATGCTCATTTACAGCGGAAGTGATCTCATTATAGTCAGCAAATCACTTTCCCCGGAGGTCTTTTTAAGCTTAAGAATAAAAAGTAGTCAGTCATCTGGGCTGCATGGTGGATGGTTAATTTCTTTAAAGCCACAGTCTCGTACAGCAGCCTTGGAGAGCCGCGCCGTGGGAACCAGTGCGTTGTCATTAAGAAACAACACTTCCTTGGCAAGTTTTCCTCTTCTCTCTTCTTTTATTGCTTCTCTCAAACGGCGTAAAGTGGCTGAGTATTTGTCTGCGTTAATGGTTTCACTTTTTTTTGTGTACGAGTATTCTGATGTGGCTGGCCGAGGGAGTGACTTTAAACTTCTTGGAGGGATCTGATCCTTTTTTATGCCATTGCATGGTCCTGCTTACTCTCAAAGTCATAGTGATGAACCCAAGTTTCATTTCCTGTAACTGTCCTATCGAAAACACTTGTTGGGTCGTCACCACACATCTCTAAAAACTCCTTACAACAGTCAACAGGCGACTGCTTTTGAAGTACAGTGTCGTTTCTGCTAACATCTTAATTCTTACTCGTGAATCGTTTAATACAAGTTTTTCAATAATTTTCACATTTTTTTTGTAACCGCTGTGATTGGCACACCCGGGCGGGGGTCATCTTCGATGCTTTCCTTGCTTCTTTTCAATTCACTTGACCACTTCTGTACGGTTGACATTGAAGAAACAGTCTACGTAAACGTCAATTATTTATTAACGAATATTTTTTTGTTTTTCCTTGTTTAGTGAGGAATTAAATTACCGCATGGTGTTCTATTCTTTTCAACATTATCGAGTCAGCCATTCCCGTCGTCTATGACTGAAGGTTACATAAGAAGAAATGAAGTTATCAAGAAGAAATTTTATAGACTAAGGGCTTTTTTATAGAAGAACGAATGGACCGATGGACTGTAACCAGTCCATTCGGCAGTGCCAAGTTGAGTATTGTTATACATATAAAAGTGCTAAAATGTAATAAAAAATACAAAAAATATAGTAGAGCTACGATGGCTATCCGAGTAAAGAAACAGAGTACAAAACCTATCCAGTTGCAGAGGTGCAAAAACGGGTAACGTTATAACGTCTTTACATTTCTGAGGTGATATATCACCGAAATTCTCCACGGATGCATTTTAAGACGATTTTAGGCTAATGGACTGAAAAAAGTATGTGAACAATATTAACGGCGAGGACACCCACTTAGTCACTTACCTTCGATTTGCCGACGATATAGTCATAATGACAGAATCACTGAAGAGGACCTCGGCACTATGCTCAAAAACCTTAATAGTGTCATCAGAAAGATAGCTTAACACCGACATCACAAAGATTCATGTTCTCCCGTAATTGTTGGGTGCACTACGTTCCGAAGTTGTTGACGAGTGTGTTACTTAGATCAAATTGTCGGATTAGATAAATCCAACTTCGTTACGACACATTCTTGACACATATATCTTAAAACATGAAAACAATAGCGAACAATCAGTGCGTAATGCCAGTGATAACAAATGGATCTGAGACGTGGTCCTTAATTGCTGACCGTGTAAGGAAGCTCAAGTAAGGGTAAGGAAGAAGGAGGTAAGACGGAGACGGAGGGTACCCAGCGAAATTCACAGTTCAAATTGACCAATCAGACGCACTCACTAAAACCAGCTGAAAACCCTGTTTGTCAGGAACCAGAGACATCACACAGCTTTGTTTTGACTTTTCCAAAACGACTCTTTCCACTTCCACTTACTAAAAATCCTCTCGTATTGCCAAAAAGCGTGGAAAAAAAGCAATTATCACGGCTCCCTATAAACAAGAATTAGAAGTCATCGTCCGGAAAAAAAGGTGCTGAACAGAAAAAAAGCTAAAGAAAATAGAAACAAAAAGAGAAAAGATGAATTAAAAAACAGAAGAAAACTACTACAAAAGCTCAAAATAAAAAATCAAAGAAGAATAGCCGATCAGCGAAAACAGCAAATTGACGAAGAGTCTCATCATCTGGAGATGAAAGTGAAGAAGAGGAGGACACACCATGTATGTATTGTGATCCCCCCTTCAATGGAAACAGAATATATACTTCATATTCTGTTTCCATTGAAGGGGGGATATCATGCTCATTATGTGGAAGATGGGCTCATAATAGCTGTGCAGGAATAGATGATGATGATGACGAACCACCCATGTCTGCGAGTTCTGCCAGCTCAAATAATCATCTTTCTCTGATCATTCTCATGACCCCATCTTACCTCAGGGGGGTACCCCATTTACCAGCACCATGGGGCAAGGCGGGGCAAAAAACCTTTTTTATTTTTTATTTTTCTCTTAAATGTGTTACCAAAAGTTCCTAATCACACCAATTATTAGAATAATAATAATAATAATTTGTTAATTAAAAATAAATATGATTATTTCACAATGTATTTTTTTTTATATTATTGACTTTCTAAGCTTTAGTACCCATCTTGCCACCCTATCCCCTACGATCATCGAGCTATAGAGAGTGAAGAACGTTATGCTCAGTTTCTCTGCATGATAAACTTCGTAATGAGGTTATCCGCAGTGAAACCAGAGTAACCTACATAGCCAAATGGGTATCTTTTTAACTTATTATGAGACAGTGCTTGTCTATAGTCCAGCTTAGTGGCAAGAGGTATATAAAGCCTTGATGGTAAAAGCCACTATCTTAGCGTAACATAAACCTAATCATTCTCTTATACCTAGCTTGCTACACACATTACGAAAGCCTATTACGCCTGGTTGTCAGATTTCGGATAGGGTAAGGATAATATTATTAAATATTGTAGAGCACCAGATGCTGGGTACTCTGCTTCTGGGCTCGACACTGATAAGATTGCTTTTCACCAAACCAAGGTCACCATTAAGCCTCTTAGTACAGCTTTCCAATTAGTCCAACGCTGCTAGGTGGCATTTCGTAGCACCAGCGACAGCAGTATCACATGTACGACCGGACTACTGCTTTATGTAAGGTCAGAAGCTACGACGTCAAGTACCTTGACACTTAATTTCCTTGCGGCTTTTGTCTCTGGACTCAATAAACCATACAAAGTCGAAGTCGGGAAAATCACAACCACTAACAACCGCAGGTGGTCGGTGTACTCCAAAGATATATCCCAGACAGTAGGAGCCTGGGTGACCGGACTCCCTTGTACGATGAAAAGACACGCTTTCATATTTTAGGCGTTGAATCACACATACTGACATCGACCAAGTCAGACACTAATTGCAGTGAGAGATTCACACGCTTAACTATAGCTCTTCTTCCAGACTGAACCGGACCATGACTGGTCCGAGCATTGGGGTGGTATCCCTCCACAACTGCGCTGTCGTCTGCGGTACACCACGCATAAGCAGATCATTTATGACCACATGGAAATACCATTACTCAGGAAGTCTTTTACCCAGTCAATAAGACCAAGGGGTTACGTCTTACTTCTTGGCCTTATTTGCTGGAAGCTCGCCCAAAATGCTAGTGTGACCAACCCTGTCAAACGTCTTCAAGACATCAAGGAAGATCCCAAGTGCTTTTCCACTATTCTCGATGGCGTCGCTCCATGTGATTGGCATATGCTAGGTATCCAGTTCGGCGAAACACGTACAGGTGGTCGCTGAGGTCATTCCGTTCCGAGCATACCACGAGGGGGCGTTCAAATACACGCTCCTTAATCTTGCAGAGTATGGAAGTTATTGGCCGATAGTTGGCAGGATCAGCACAGCTTTTGTTTTAGGCAAAAATTGCACACAGGTTAGCTTGCAAGATTTGAGCACTATTCCAGTCCTAGATGAGAGGCATCACAAGGTTTTAAGAACCTCCTTGATAGTGATGTGGACCTCCGGCATAGAGGTATCATGGCAAAGTTATTGGGGTGCAATACTGTCAGTTGTCCCTGATTACCAGCTAGGTACTATTGGGACAATTTAGGCGACATGTACATTCTGTATATGGGACAAGATCATAGGAAGATCAAACACAGGGTTCCACAGAACTTGGAACTAGTGTAGAATCTCGCCTATGTGGCGACAATCCTGGCCCGTAGCTCATGCTGCGTAAATACCTTTTTTGGCACACCTTTGACGTAAAAACCTGAAATAATTGAATTTCGTTTTTGTCATAAATTACTTTCATTTACATGGATCCGAGGGTGTACGTCTGTATCCGCGTCCTCCGCAGGAGCGGTGCGGTGATAGTGAGCTAGATGAAGCGCTCAAATCAATTAAACAGTAGGAAGACAAAACGCTTTGGCGACTTGGCGCTCTCCACATGATGGGGAGCGCTATGGATGCAAACATGTCATTTGAGTAATCGTGCCAGCCTTCGAAGCCAAGATGCAGTGATGGATAGGGAGACTAAGCGAGAGAGGGGCCTAGATAAGATATCCTGGGACTTCTCGTATACACTTGTGATCGCCATGGTGATTTAGCCAGTAGAAACCAGGCATAACCCACAGTCGGCCAGCACTGTATCTGTGCCTCAGATCTCACTACCTTCCATAAATAGGGACATTGAAACAACCACGTCACAACCGGTTTTTGTGCATAACGGAACTGTCTAGACCCAATCTCTCAAAAAAGGTTTTCACCTAAAATTATACTGGAACATGACTTGCGTCATTCGGCAGTATGTCTTTGCTAGGTGGGTGGTAACTTACCCACCAGAAAGTGTTGCTGCTTGTGTTGCCCTACCCAGGGTTTATATGTAGGGAGTCAGGTTTCAAGTAATTCCAGATGCAAGCAACATCATTCTCAAAAATCAGTAAGCTAAAGAGGCAATGATCTGACTAAATAGCTCAAAGAATGGGGTGAGTGACCTCATACTCATAAGCAAGGTTTAGGGCAGTCATTGACTAGATGCAAGTAAGACCTAATAAGAAATGCAGGAAATTAATGGACGTAGGTGGCTCAGGATGGTGCTTTGTACATACTTTATAGGAATATAAGCACTGGACTTTTGTAGGGCTGTAATGATGATGATAATTATACATGCCTGATGATTGTTTCTTACCATAAATTTGATACTTACCTTACAAAATTTACATTTATTTATATTTTTATCAACAGAGCCTATTTTATCTGCTGTTTTGCATAGTGTGGACACTGTAGCTGGAAAGTTTTCTTGTAAGTCAGATACAAAAGTTTTGATGACAGACTGAAGGCTATTGCCTCTAATAGATTCTACAGAAATTTGGATAAGATCCTTGATTTGAATATAGTGATGCAGTTCCTCTTCTGTAATGTCTTTCATTGGCCTCAAAATTTTTATATTTTCATCACGATTGTCAAAGAAACCCTAAAAAATTAAGATACCTTTAGAATGTATTACATCATTGCTTCTCATTGCCAATTTGAGCATTTTATCTGGCATGTACAAGATTGTTATATCATAAACATTATATATCTAACAGAGACCACAAAAGCTTTCAAGCATTTTCTATTGCCAGCTTCTATAACACCCACAAGAACATGGGGTGATGCATTAATTGCCTAATATATTATGTAATGCTTGTCCAAGAAAGGTAATATTAGGAAATCATTTTTCTCATGAGAGTTATAGGAGTTCAGTAAGCCTAAAAGATCTAACTGTATGTAAAAATATGACAACATTACCTAAATACTAAGCAGATGGGGTGTATTGTTAAAGATGCATCATTTCTGATGCTGCAATACACCAATATGTCTAACAAACATAGCAATTACCACAAATCCTCCCTTTTTTGGGACATACCCGTATATCTAGTTGTGAACTAATGATAGGATGTTGAAAAAATTAAAGTATAAACGAAACTTACTATGTCATCTTGTACCTGTGACCCACGTCCAATTGCAAGATTAGATAATAGGTTTACAGCTAAAGTTGTTGTTGTTTCAGCAGTAAATATATAATCACATTTAAGTTGTTTTGCTGCTCTAATGAATATGTCATGTTTTATTTTCATTTCAATATCATTACTGGATGTAGATGTCATTTTGCTCAAAATATTTTTTAGATTAGTATTTGGATTAAGTTTAGTCCAGTTATTTGCATCTGTTACATTATTTACACTTGGCAATGTATTATTGCTTTGAAAGTAGTACTCACAGATATTTACAATGTAAACATTAAAATTATAACTCTGACACTGTTTTATTACCAATTCTGCAACTTTAATATCGTTTTCTTTTTCGCCTAGTCCTAAGTGGAAAAAAAAAGTTTTAATAAATATCTATCTTTCTCTATTATATTAAGAACTTTGATGTTGAAGCAACTAATATTACCTGTTATATGTAGGAAAAAGGGAACTATTCTTAATTTTTTGTGGCTATCTTGAGATAAACCATTAGAAATCAAATCGAGTAATACTGCAGAACTTTTGCCACCAGTGAGACAAACCAGAACATTATCATTTGATGACAAAATTTTATTTTTTCCAATACATGATCGAAATTTATGATTGATGTTCAGCATGAAACAGTTATCACAATATATATGCTCTTTACGGACAGTCACAGAACCAGAGTTCTTACATTTTTTGCAAATCATTTTGGAATAATGAATAGTGTTGACTATAATGACCTTCTTTGATTTTTGTTTCTTGTTCCACGGTCCACGCATAAGCTAACTAGCTAGTATATAGTCAGTAATCTATGCTAACTAGGTTATGCTAGAAACTCAGAACCACAGCTCAGAACTTAGAAACACTCTGTTTGTTATTGGGTGCGTTTGGCAGAAAAAAGCGCTAGCAAGCGCTTGTAAGCAAAATGGCGATCGTAAGCGGTAAGCGCTGTCAAATCGTAAGTAGCTATTTTCTTCCAGGACACGATGTTAGTTTTAACCGGGGAATCTAACCTAATTTAAATATATGTTTGTAAAGTATTCATATTAAAAACTTACCAATCATGAGTTTTTAATAGCATGTATATGTTTATTCATGTCATATATTACTTAAAACTAATATTGCACAAAACAACTTATAAACTCTACTTCAAAACAAACAAATTAAATAAGCAAAATGGCGGATTGTGTCAGCGCTACTGAAGTAGCAATCGTGTCCTGGCCGAAAACTATTTTAGCGCTTATAAGCGCTTGCTAGCGCTTTTTTCTGCCAAACGCACCCATTGTCAATCAAATCCACAGAACATAGATTACTGAATATCTAGAGACATAGAATTTCTCTCTCTCTCACAGACAGATCTAATCTTAATTTATGGTAGGCATGTCGGTTCAAAATCGATTCGTTGGAGTAAAATTATCGATTTTTAGATCGATTCGAAGCTCCGCATCGATTCACTGAATCAATCCAAAAACCTCTTGAATCGGACTAATTCACTTGATACAAGAACTAGCTAAAATTCCCAAACTGGGTGGGGTAAGATACCACAGTTTTTTAATTTTTTGCTGTTGGGGGACGCAAAACAACCGGTCATACTTGGTTAATAATTTGAACGCAATATATATTTGAATAAAATTTATGAATGCATCCAACAATATCGAAAAGTTGTCATTTCATTTTCATTTCTAAAATTCTTAAGCCCACTTTCCACTAAGCGATATAATGTAAATTATATTACATCTCGAGATATAAATTAATAGTGCTCACCGTACTTTTAAATGGAACCGTTTCCACTGAGATGTAATATATATTACATCCCAAACTATAAATATTTTTTCGATCGACCAAGCGATATTTTCATATTATATTTCACCTCCTGTACTATAATATAATATAATATTATAGCTGTGAACCTGTGTGAACTGTGAACTTGTGAATTTACATTATTTATTATCAAAAATATACATACTGTACAGAGTACTTTTTAAATACCTAGATACTGTAAATAAATATTATACCATACGTTGAAGTTTATAGAGGTTTATTGTAAGGAAATAACCAGTATTGTGTTCGTGTAGCATTCATTTCGATATGATAAATAGTGAGTTATTAGATTGAAACAGATTTATCGAGAAATGTACGTTGCAGTTCTGTTAAATTACTGTTGTTGTTTTTAGCCTAAAATGTCAAATAAAAGTGTTACGTGGAATCACTTTGTAAAAAAAGGGATCGAGTGGAGTATGTGCGAACCACTCCTAACACAAGCGTTTCAAGCTTACCAAGAGTGGTTAAAAGGAATATTAGTAATGTTAATCAATAAGATTACTAATATTTTATTTAAAAAAAACAGTTTAGAAGTTAAATAAAAAAATCGAAAATTCTTGAAATTTCATGTTTGAAAATGTCGCGATTAATCGAAAATCGATATTTTAATCCTCGATTTAATCGATAATCGATTCAAGTACCTTCGATTCAAATCGATTCAGAGATCGATTTTTTTAAGAGTGAATCGACATGCCTATTTCTCTGTCTATGCACAGAACATTTTTGGTTTTACTCCTCTCCAGTGTTGCCAACATTGAAATCTAGCTCCCGTTGTAGAGAACACTATAATCCCGTCAAATCCCGTCAAGTATGGTAGACAAGTGTCAATCATTCATTTCTAGTGACCGAATCATTCTAGTACATTTAGTCATGCGTACTGGTACATTCGGATCGATCATTCAATTGGATCACTTCGGGCTCCAGTACTCCGTTGAGTCTGTGAGATCCATTGGGAAACGAACATTTTCTATTTGTAATATTAAATGTTCATCTGGTTCAATGGGCCATCTACTACATGCTATAGGTAATAAAGTCATTTTATCGAACTAAAACTTATTGACTTTCAATGATATCACAGATTCAGAGGATATGTGACTCAAACAGTAAAGAGAGAGAATGAAATAAATAGAGTAGTTGATAGTTTTCTATATATTCAACAGTAGCGCATCATTTTGGCCGACCAAAGACAAAACAGTTTCTGAGCTTTTAAAAGAATTACGTCAAATGAAAACTTACTCTCTGAACTTTTTAAAGATAAGAATGTATTGCACATTTTTTCGTATTTTTAAACTAAAAAAATAGAATTTAAAAAAAAAACAAATCTAAAAAAACATAAAAAAATTTGTTGTACCGTTAAAAACCCGTTAACCCGTTAAACACAAATTTTTCCCGTTACCAACCTCGCTGTCCCGTCAAATCTAACGGGAATCCCGTCAAGTTGGCAACACTGCTCCTCTCCTATGATCAAGTCTGTCAAGTCCTGTCGGCCCAGTGTTGCCAGATGCCCTGAACCTTTTATCTGCATTAGAAACTAAAGTTGTTCAAAACGACTATAAGTCAATAGCACGCTACAGACTATAAACAATAAATTTCTAGCGCGCTATTAAATACGCTATGTTATCTTCGTAAGGCCCAAGAAAAATTTGCTTAGTTTAGATTACGACCCGAAGGTCCTTTTAAAAGGATCAAATTTTATTGATGTTCAGACCCAAACAAAAAGATGCAATGTTTTCTTTTGTTGCAGTTTTTATTTTAAATATAGTTTATTAGTGTCTTTATAACTTGCCAAAGGACTCATTTGTAAAGTATAGACCTCATATCTTTGGTTCTTTGAAGTACCAAAATAAAGTACATAGTACCAAAGTAGGTAACAAAAATTTACACTATCTTACGACTTTGGGTTGTAACGATATAAATAAAAAATATGAAAAATATCAACATTTATTAGAGATTTGAATAATAATACTCTTCACAAGAAGAAGATACTGAATGCATGACATGGCAAAAGTTATGCCAATATATCGCACGGCTAGATTAAAACTGTTTTAACTCAAAAAACCACTTTTTTCACAATTCAAGAAAAACTGATATCTGGTAACTTACTTAAGATATATATTGAATTTCTACAAAAAGATTATATAAGATAAGATGTTTTAATATTCTATGGTATATGTATATATATATATATATATATATATATATATATATATATATATATATATATATATATATGTATTGTAGGCCACATAAAGTGTTTTGCATAGTGAGCTGAAAAAAATGAGCATTTTGACTTGAATCCGTTTTGTACAGAAAATTTTGAGTTGTGACCACTGACCTCTATATATACAAGTACGCTGGACTGGCTATACATTGTGACATGATGAAGTGATTTGATTTCCGCCATTTTGGCGCTGACAGCAGAAGTGCACGTCCACGGAACTAATAATAGGGATAAGACAGTATACCAAATTATGTCGATAAAAATTCTATACCCTACCATACCTAAATAAATAGAATGGCCTCTATGGATACATGAACTCTACCCGTAACGTCCATTCTATTTATGTATCATATTAATATAATGCCATTATCATTCATCATTTAAAACCCTTCACAAGTTCACTGATGAACATAGGCATCCCCCAAGAAATGCCACAGAGTACGGTCCTGTGGCGCTTCGCCAATCGCCATACCAATACTCCTCTTCCCTTACGACTCCACCTCGAATACAGCGGTACAGGGAGAGGAATCTCCTCTAGCCGCAGCCCACTAAAATACATACAACGTGGCTCGACATCATCAGGCGACCTTTCGACACTTGGCTATGGCCCTTGAGTTTGGTGGAAAATAAGGAAAGAAGAAATAAAAAAACATTCGAAATAATAATCTAATACTTTTATACTTACTGGTACTGGTACTACCAGAAAATATTCTCGGTATACTGCACTTTTTCAAAGTGGTGCAGTCCTCACGTCTAATAAAACAGTCGTCTGTGAAACGTTTGGAACAAATATGATCATTTTGTTTCGGACGCCAATTCACAATATTTATGCTTTTAAGCCATAATTTAAGTCCAGGTTCAGTTGGAAACCTCTTAATTAATAAACATTTGATAATCGTCTGTTGCCGTGTAGTCGCGGTTGAGAATATCCACTACCCCATATCTTCCCGTGGGTGTCGTAAGAGGCGACAGAGGGACACAGAAAGGAGATGGGCAGCAGCATCTTCCTAATAACAACAATAACATAATAAAAAACTGCGGTTGCCAACCCGCTCGCCAAGCGTGGCAACTATGGCAAATATCCCCCCATGAGCAACGACGCAAATAAACGGCCCCCAGTCCCCGGCGGCCCCGCTATTCCTGGCTACGGTGGCGACCATGGTAACAGCGGGGCAGGGGGTGCTAAGAATCTCCGGTGGAGGTTCGGTTGCCACCTACGACGACTCGACCTGGCAACGTATAACGCACGCACCCTGAGGACTGACGAGAAGATACTGGAGCTGGAAGAAGAGGTAGACAAGTTGCGCTGGCATATTATTGGATTATCTGAGGTCCAAAGAGAGGGGGAGGACACGGTAATCCTCGAGTCCGGCAACTTGTTCTATCCCCGGGAGGGCGACCATCTGTCCCGAGGAGGTGTCGGATTTATCGTCCACAAGTCTCTCGTCAACAACGTTGTAAAGATTGGGAGTGTGTCGACGAGGGTCGCGTACCTGATACTCAGAAACACCAAACGGTATTCGCTGAAGGTCATACAGGTCTACGCACCAACCTCGGCACATGCCGACGAGGAGGTGGAGGAAATGTATG